CCAGCAGCGGGGTTGCTCCAGGCTGCAAGATGTGGGCGAGGGGAAGGGGAAGGCTCCCTCCCCCGAGGAGCGGCTCTTACTCGGAGAGATCAACACTGCCGAGCAGCCCTAAGAGCAAAAATTATTTCCTACCGTGCCAAGCAAGTGCTGTTGCTGGCTGTCGGCGCTAGGGGGTGGCTGCAGGGAGGGCGCAGGCTTTAGGCACAGCTTTAGGCACAGCTTTAGGCACAGCCTCGTGCTGCCGCATCTCCCCCCCCCCCAGCCGAGAGCAGCTGGAGCCGGGAAGGCCAAGCGAGGGAAGGGGAGCCTGATTTGGAGGAGGAAATGCTCTGCGCCCCTCTTCCCCCCCCTCCCTGAGATCAAGGGGATCTCGGCAAGGAGATGCTGCTCCTACAACTGAAGTGAATCAGACCAGAGCCCAGGACTGGTTTCCAGAATTTGGCTTTACTTCGCAGTACAGAAATCATTTGGAGCCTTCGGGAGAGAGGAGAAGCACAGGCTCTGTCATACCGATACCGCAGCGCCGTTTGGTCCATCCGAGAAGCCCACCAGGGTACAGAAAAATACTTCCACATCGTGCCTGCTCTGTAATTTGTTCTCTCACTTTTATTAAGATTAAAACACAAAGGAGCCTTAGGCACAGCTGTGTCCCAACCCCTGTAAACCGTTTTAGAAGCTTAAGTGGAGGTTAAGTTCCGTGCCCAGAACTAAGCCAACATTCGCTGCTACAATAGATGGGGGCTTTTGTCCATGATACAGCTCGCCACAGCGTTAAGGTGGAGGGGAGGAGACTGGAGGGGTGCTGTCCACAATAGGGGAGGGCTCGCTTTCTGACCTCCTGGATAGCAGGTCTGGGTGCCAACCGCTCACAGCGACTTAAGCTCACCAGAAGCACATAATCGTGAAGGATGGTGTACAAATGATTAAAAATACAAGGGAAGACACAGCTGTCAATGAGTTATTTCAAATCGGCACCAACGTCTACGTCTGCAAAAAAAAAAATAATAATAATAATAATAATAAAAAAAAAAGAAAATAGGTGGGGGGTTTTTTTGTTTGTTTGTTTTTTCCAGTCTGCCTCTCGCTTACGAGGTTAGTCATTAAATCAGTCAGTAATTTGCCAGATTCTGGACAGCAGCCCTACTAGAATGAAATAATTAACACATGATATCCAAAAGGGGAACATTACCAGTGCAGTACTCTTCAGTCTCTCAGAGATGGGATTACAAAAGCAGGCCTTACAATATTGAATTTCATACAGTGTTCATTAAGTTCCTTATATATTCATATTAGCCGATTTAAATTTCTCCTAATTAGGGATTCTCATTACTGCTGCTCCTCCTCCCCATAGATATCATTTTTCTTGCGTTTCATCTCTTCGAAGTCAAACTCTGATCCCATCATCCTCTTATAAATATCTTTGATGTCATCGCACGTCGTCTCAAAGTGAGTGGTGGCGTCATAGGTGCGAGAAATGAAGATCTGGGGAAGGGAAGCAGCAGGTTAGCATCGAGCCGCGCTCCTCACCCGCCTCCAACACCAGCTCGGCGCTTACTCACCTGGCTTTCGGTTCCCAAGTCGGTCGGTGC